CTGACTCTATAGTTACCATTAAATCCTTTACATTAATACAAAATCAGCATATTAACTGTTCGGCTAAGTATTTCTCTTCTGAGGTTAATAACATCTAATCTAAATCTCAGGCTTGTTTAAACTTTGTTTTCAGCCTTGTTTCAGTTCGACAATTAAATCCATATATAATTACACACTGAATTGTGCTTCAATGTTGATAATTGTAGCACTAAAGGCAGTTCAGCATATTTAATGAGGCTGGTGTATTTGCATGATTATAATATACATATAATATAAAAAAGACCTTAAGCTAATTTTCTCAACTTGTAGAGCAAACAACCCTTTGATGAATCTTTAATTCATGAACATGTAACACATTCTTTAAGAAATACCAGGGTTAATTCTTCACATATTTTACTCACTTTCAATAACTTTGTTTTGTTTTTTCGTGGAGGAACCTCAACGGCGGTGTTATTTTGAAAATCCTCCCGGAAGTAGCCTGTTAACAGCAGCCAGCTTGCCGCTGTGAACATCCGCCACTGTCGCTCGGTCCGCCTCTCTCCTCCCGACTCAACTCGGCTGTTCTCGTCGAGAAGCGACCAAGTGGCGGAGGAAAGGGAAAGGAGAGAGGGGGAGACTGGTCGTACTGGGAAGGAGAAAAAAAAAGAAAAGTAAACGACAATTGAATATTAACAAGCAACCGTCAGCGGAAAGTGGAAGCGGTACGGATCGGCAGCTTTGAAGTGCCCAGTGAGGTAGCTGGTTTCCCACAGTCTATGGTGTAAACACATTAGTGTAGTTGTGACATTGCGCCGTGAGCGACAGAGCAGAGGGAAAGGTCTCCTCCCAGTCTGTTGACGGATACAGTTTGGCTTCAGTGAAAGGAGACACGGCTGACCTGACTGTACATTACCCCGGCCAGGTAAGACTGCCATGTGTCGATAACCTGTCACATTCACAGCGGACATAACCGCGCTTTTACCTGAGCAACAGTTGCTCTCAGTCGGATCTACCACCAGACATATTTACTGTCACTGCTGCCAGCTTTCACAGTCTTCATCCGTTTATGCAACACTTAGTTAGCTGGCAGCACACACGGTTTATACCTTACAATGTTTCTTGTTATCTGTGAGTCCAGTGAACACACGTAAGTTACAGTGTGAGGCTCATACCGCCTCATGGATACAGTACTCAACAGGTGATATAGCTTCAGCTCAAGGTTTACTCAGCACAGTGCTGTGTGGGCCTCCTGCCCTGATTATTCCCCACAGGCCCCACCTACTGTGTTGGCCACATAATGACTTATTTTGGAAAGCAAATAGTTATTTTTTTCTTCCAGAGCAGAGCAGAAAAGCACTTTTTATAGATATATAAACCAGCCACTTCCTTCACATTAGTCGATTATGCAATAGGTAATCGCTTGCAACACTGCCAGTGCAGTTCAACATGAACCAATTAGATTATGAACCCGGTGAGATGGTTGAAGTGGCTGAGATGTTTACATGGAGCATCAACAGCTCTGTTGATGTCCCCTGGCCATTAGGAGGACAGAATACAGACCGGCCATTGATAAGGCCAACTCATTAGTACCCCATTCACCACCATCAAAGCCTCCTCTCAACGCCCATCAACATGAGTGGGTCCGCACCACACACTGGAAGCTGAGGATCACACACTTCCTGCCTTCACGCCGACGACAGGGGTTTGGTTTGGTGCAGTGCATTAGGTTTCATTATGGAGGAACAGCTTTATGACTGACACTAGCCAAGAGAGCCAGAACTCAGATTTAGGAAATGACGTTCAGATATGAACCGCATCAACATCTGAGTCAGTGTCTGTCTCACGAGAGCAGCTCCTGGTACTCACTGCGGTTTGGTGTCACTGGTGATAGCAGGAATATGCAGCCTCACTGTATGGGTTTGAAGATGGTGACGTCCATGAACAGCTGCCTCGTCTAATGCTGTCCGATCTGTCATAAGGCTGTCTGCTGCCATTCCTTGGAACAAACACTAACCCCCTGTATTGACAAAAATCTGTACATTCACAAGAACCTTTCATTGTCAGTTTCATTCATTGAATTAGTTGTCGACTATTAAATCAATCGCCAACTATTTTGATAATCGATTATTTGATTTGAGTTCTTTTTTTAAGAAAAAATGTCCAGATTCTCTGATTTCAGCTCCTCAAATATGAATATTCCTGGTGTCTTTAGTCCTCTGTGACAGTAAACTGAATATGGACGTCAGACTGGGCTTCGGGAAACAGTGATCATCAATTTTCTCACATTTAAATAATGAAAATAATTGTTGATTGCAGCCATAGCTTATTGAGAATTGTGTTTAATGTAGAAGTAAAAAAAAAAAAAAAGAAGTGACCTTTGACATGAAGGGCTGCAGTTTTTAAACTCTCTCTCTCTCTACCAGCTTTGGTGGCATGGGCTCCATTTGGAGTTGAGTGTGAGTAGGTTAGCCCGGATTGCTGCTGGCAGGATTTAACGTGACGTGTGATGCATGTAAATTGATTAGTAACAGGAGGAGGGGGCTCGGTGGTCGGGAGGGGAACAGTGTCTTGCCTAATGCAAGGATTAGATTTAAAAAGAAAAAGAAAAGAAGAAGAGGGTCCGGGTAACGGGACTCCCCCCTGCATCTTGAGATTGAGGAGTTTTTAATCTCCTTCCTCCGTCTCCATATGAGTTTAACTTTTGGAACAATGGATGAACTGTTGGGATCATGAGGGAAGTGGCACACGCAGCTGTAACCAATGCTGTAATACCACATCGCCGAACAGGCTGCTCTGGAAGCGCCGTGCATCTCTCCTGACACTGAATGCTGCCCGACTTGATCGGCAGCTCTGTCGGCGACTTTTTGACAAACAGCCAGTTTGGCGCAGGAGGAAGACGTAGCTGTGGCCGCCGTCTGAGCCAGGATCTGTTTCCTCATAGCGATGTCTGTGGATTCCCCGCAGGTCTTTCACTGCACAGAGGGGTTTTTAAAGTACGTGCCTATGCGTGCTTGCTTCAGTGTGTGTGTTGCGTTGAGTGTTCTTACTACTTCCTTACTGGGCTGAGTTATCCACATATTTTCTCAACATGTGAACACACACACACAC